TCAATTCCAGGCAGGGCGAAACCTTGGGCAAGTTTCCTTACTCCACACGCCTAATAATAATCCCTCCAAAAAAAAAACAATAATTAAATTGGTCATTTTCAATCTACGACTGTTTGTGGGACATTGCTGTGCGCAATTGGCTGCCGCGTTCGCCCACAAATATACAGTCAATTCACTTTACAGTGTGTTCTGTGAAGCGCTTTGGGACGTCCTCCTGACGTGAAAAGCGCTATATCAAATGCAAGGATTATTATTATTATTATTATTATTATTATTTGGCTCCATCCAACAGTTGCCTCATATTCAATATTTTACATGGCCCCTGGGGATATCTAGAAATAGTTGGCAGAGTAAACAAATTACATCTGAAAGCCACATGCACCAATTGTTCTTATGAGTTACATTTTACTTTCTTCAGTTCAACCTGATTGTTGTTAATGTACTTTCTTCTCCATGGGGAAATCTTTCTTGAACCAAACAATCACTTGCATTAAAACGTACAGTAAGGATAGGATTTTTTGCCAAAAGTCTTACAGATGACGTTGTAAATCTGTAGGTTATTTCTTGGTTTCACCAAACCATGATCACTAATATTAACTCTCTTTTAAGTTCTGTAAAGGCCTTATTTTTTCCGAGTCACATGCTTAAATGCAGTCTTCGGCTCATTTTAGGTTAGATGACGTCAGATGAACTCATGTTTGCCATTGATTAATAATAATAATAATCTTGCATTTGATATAGCGCCTTATTCCGACTTTGAGACATCTCAAAGAGCTTCACAGAATATATCGTAAAGTGAATTGATTGTATATTTTTGTGGGCGAAATGTGGCAGTGAATTAATCGTGGATTGAAGTGACCAATTTATTATTATTATATTTTTGAAGGAATTATTACCCCTGGAAAAGCAATCTGCCAATCGACTAAGAACCAGGTTCCTACTTACTGCTAGGTAAACAGAGGCGTGTGGAGTGAGGAAACTTGCCCAAAGTTTCAACCTGCCGGAAAGTGAACCCAGCTCTTCACGCTTGCGAGGAGAGTGCTATGACCACTAAGCTACAGGATTCAATATCAGGACAACAACAACAATAAATTACATTTGTCTAGTGCCTTTCACGTCCGGAGGACGTCCCAGAGGGTGTCCCAAGGTGCTTATCAATATTGGCTGAGCTTACTCCACACGCCTAATAATAATCCCTCCAAAAAAAAAAACAATAATTAAATTGGTCATTTTCAATCTACGACTGTTTGTGGGACATTGCTGTGCGCAATTGGCTGCCGCGTTCGCCCACAAATATACAGTCAATTCACTTTACAGTGTGTTCTGTGAAGCGCTTTGGGACGTCCTCCCGACGTGAAAAGCGCTATATCAAATGCAAGGATTATTATTATTATTATTATTAATATGCAGAGCTGAAGCATAAAACTAAAGCTCTATTCGATGAAGTTTGAATGCACACATGACACATTTTCAGTTTAAAATTGCCAACTGTTGAGTCATTAGGATCACTGTCAGTATCACTTCCTGCTTTATGCACGTGTAGCAAAGTGAAAGTAATGTTTGTGGCCAAAGACCTAAATGTTAGCAATTTTTTTCTTCAGTACAGAACTGGGTCGTGCCAGCCGGTTGCAGGCAGGCACAGTTAATTCCTACCATTGCGCCTCACTGTAACGTTGGTTTGGATTTTATGGATCCCAGAGACCCCATTAATCCATGTCTCCACAGTGCTATATTTTCCATTCTTTATCCCCTTGGAATATTTAAATTTAAACCAGTGCCTTTGATTTCTGCTTTTCAGTCTTAGTCTTACATTGATATTATCCCATTATTTTAAAGATATGGTCCATATTTTTTTAATGAGAAGAAGTTAAACTGTGTATTCTATACAAGCTTTCCTTATAAAGCAGGTGAAACACTGGACAAGTTTCCTTATTCCACACGACTTTGTTTACCTAGAAGTAAGAAGGAGCCCGGTTGCTAGTCGATTGGCAAATCGCTTTTCTGGGGATAATAATCTCTTCAAAAAAAATAAAAAAATAATAATTTGGTCACTCAATCCACGACTGTTTGTGAGATATGGCTGTGCGCTGCTGTGTTCCGCCCACAAAATATACAGTCAATTCACTTTACAGTATATTCTGTGAAGCGCTTTGAGACATCTAGAAGACGTGATAAGGCACTATATCAAATGCAAGGATAATTATTATTATTATTGTAAGAGGATCCAAACATGTTTATCTGTATGAATGGACAGAAGTACCTTTCATGCTTGAAAGTACAGTAGGTTGGCTATCTGTATTTTTTTATGTTGATCATAAAGGCTCCTTTGTTTTTAAATTTTGCAGCTGCATGTGAAGGAATCGTCCTAACTTGTAACATATAATTGACAAATTAACAAATGTGTTACATTGATTTCCAACTACTTGGCATATCTTTCATCAGTAATTTTACTGTTTAACCCATGCAACACATATCTGCAGATTGCCCTCAGTAACTTTGAACAGTCAGCAGTTATAATTGCTGTTTACCTAAAAGCGTAAAGAATCTTTAAGCGCTTTGGGATTTAACAAAAGTGCCTTAAGTACTTTCTCCTGATGTGAAAGGGACAATATAAATGTAATTTATAAATGTGTTGTATTAAGCATCTTCAAAGAACATATTGCAATACACTCCAACATATTAATATGCTTTGTGGATAACCTTCTCCACTTGATTTTAATACTACCGCTACACAACAACATGTTGGGGGGTTAGCCGGGTGTTTAACATATGCGGAAATCCATCATCCTGCTTAAAAGTATCCAAACCAAAATGAGAATTGCACGCATCTCACCTATTCATGGAAATTCGAGAAATGTTTATTGGAATGCGCATTTCTCTCACTGGAGGGAAACATCCTGCTTACATAATTCAGAAAAGTATCAGATGCAGGTTGGCAAGAGCCAAGACTCGGGGACCCCAGAGTGTGCGTTGGGGTACTGCTGGAGTCCAACCAGCTAAAACTGAATATGTTGGCATTGATATCACTATCTGGCAAGCTTTCCTGCTTGTCCAGCTAGGACCACCCTACCCTTTAGGGCTTTGGCTTGCAGGGTTAACAGGAGCTGAGTGGGAGAATTCCCTGCCCCCAGTGACTGGTCTGACCTTCCAGGTCCTGTCGATGAGCCAGGCTGGCTGGACTGTCATCAGTGGTCCTGTGGAATACTGTGGACCCGCCTGACTCAGGAACTGGACTAATGAAACTGTAACAGAGGATTGGCTCAATTCTGACATTCCGTTGCCAACATGTCACCTTGGAACCAGTTCAATTACAAGGTGACCCCACTTACCTGCCCCCCAAGGAGGATAGTCACTAGTTGGTCATTTCACAACCGAGAAGCGCATCTTTGAGCCCTCACGAGGTGGATGGTAGGTACCAGGAACTTCCCGCGAGCTTCCTAGTGCGCAACAGATCTCAGCATGAAATGTGCGAGAGCATTGCCACCATCACGTTCATTTCCATTGAGCGATGGTTCCACTAGGTGGAGTTGGGGAGCTTGAACAGCAGCTGCTTGGCTCTCCGCAGACTAATCAAGGTGGATTCCAAGCGCTGGATGTTCACGAACTTGGACTCCAGGTAACGGCTTCCAGCAGTTGTCACCCCAAGCCTCAGCATTTCCTCATC